GGGGCAATGATTTCTAAGTCATCATGGTGACTCAGGAGATTAAAAGGCTTGGGTCACAACAGTCTTCAGGCATTTTTTTCATGTTATAAACAATCTTGGACTATCCTAAATTCAAATGATTAGGGCTTTACTCTGGTCATCTGAGTTGCAAAACTCCCATTAATTTTGATGTTTCCTTGAAGGACTACAGCATCAAGCTGGGTTTACTCATTCTGATTTTACAACAGTAGCTCCTTCTGCCCAAACTGAAATTCTGGAAAAAATCTTTCTGGTAGTTAATACTAGCATACTTAGCAGATTCTCCACTTTGAGTGGCTGTTGGATTCATAGTCACACATGCATGGCATCAGATATGGAATAGAACAATTGGCCTGATAATGGATTTTTTTTTTAACATAAACACCATGTGCATCTGTTGACATACCAGGACCTCATGGATCTTGAACTTGAGAAAAAAGTCAGCACTAAACAGTCAAGATGAGGAGTTCAAAGCACCTGGGAGGTTGGCTTTGAGTTCCAGCTCTCTACTCACTGCTTCTGGGACTTTGATCCAGTTCACTAACCCCTGTCAGCCTGGGCTTCTCTGTTTAAAAAAATATGGGAGTTACCTCCTACTTAAACATATGATTGTGCATTTTATTTAATCATTTTATGTATCATTTCACAATGGTCGGAAATGCAGCACATCTACTTCAGTATCAAGTGTCTTTGTGGGGGCTAGGCAGATTCTTAAAAGACAAATACCCTTCCATCACTTTTGGAAAACAAGCCATCACCCATAACAAAAAGAAATGGAAAAGGAGCTCCTGAGCAGACATTTCAGACTTTCAGTTTAGTAGTTTCCAAGAATAAAACATTCTTCCTTGTGTGCCAGAATGGCTGGAGATGCCAATTTAAATTAAGAAGTAGGAAGACTATCTGAGACATTTTTGAAGACAATTTTCAGCTAATAAAAGTATCATACACACACTCATTACCTGTTAATCGGAAAAGGCATACGTAATGACGGAAGGCTCTTGAGGATGAGGGACCTCTTCTCACTAAATTTGTGTTTTGTTCATCATAGCAAACATATTCAAACACTTGAGAAAGAGGAGGGTTTACAGGTGTCTCATTTGTGTTCATCAAAAAGCTAATGCTTTTGTTACCATTTAGGATGGGTGTCTGCCTCTCAGTAATTTGAGAGCTTTGAAACACCCCTGGCCTCTGTGCTCCTTCCTCTAATTCCTTTCATTTCCTGTGCCACTGGCCTTCCTCTTGGGTTCCTAACAGTGCTTATCTGCCCTCTGTATATAAAGCATCCAGAAAGATCACTCTGGCATGGTCAAATAGCTTTTATCAGCTCACACAGTGTTTCATAGGCTTTGATACTTGTAAACAGAACTTAACCACATAGCGCCGAGCCCCGATCAGGCCAGCTACTTGCTTTAGAAAATTGATGCTGTTTACAGCAAGGCAACCACAGAATCTGCCCCATACTTTCCCCTTCCTTCAAATTGGAAAGGAACATGGAGATGGTCAGCAATGCTAGTGGCTCTGTAGCCACAGTGTCTCTTAATTCCTATGGCTTCATTTTATCTAATTAGAGAGGATCATGGCTTATTGTACTCCACAATATACCATCTCACTCTTCGGATTTCATATTTCAGTTGCCTGTGGTTGCCCCTCCCAAGGGCTACCTACCATATTTGGCTCCACAGCACATTTGTTAATAACTCATTACAATTTATTTGACAAGCATGTAGACTCTTTCCCCTTTTGTATACAAACATGTTTGGGGAAATTCATCAAGTGAACATTTTTTCTTTTAAATAATAGTAACAACCACAATAATAATAGCAATAAATAATCAGTTCCATAAAATGATAACATATCTGAGGACACCCTTCTGACACTACAATTTGTGCTGTACAGAAACATGATAAAAATCATTGAATGTTTCCCCTTCCTTTACACGTATTCTCCAAGAAATGTAGTTTTGATGAGACTTCCCCAACTCACTTAATATTCTATGGCTTAATTTCCATGAACTTAATAGAGCTAAGGGAGCCACACTTGTGTGAGGGAGTACATACTTTAGGGTTAAAAATGCCCTGATTTCAGGTTAGGTCATGCACACTGGATTTCACTCACCAGCTAGGTATCCTTGAACAGTTATTTAAACTCAAAAGATGCTATTCTTCATCAATAAAATAGTGCTGATGTTTCCAGCTTACAGGAATTTCCAAGGACAAAATGAGGCAGATATGTAGAATATTTCATAGAATGTTGGGGCCAGTAACAGCCCAATAGCTATAACTGCTGCTGTTACGTTTGTTAGTGGCAACCTGAGAAAGAAGGACAATAACCTAGAAGGCTGGGTTAACTAAGCCTGCCCTCTGCAAAGATGGTAATGAAAGCCCCACTGAGATACATACCGAGAAATGGACCCTGCAGGGGTCTAGCTTTGAGATACAGGGCTAGGAAACTCAGTTTTTGCTGGGAGGACCATAGTCAAAAGTTTCAGATGTGTTTTTCTGTTATTTTTCTGCATTATATGGTATGACTTGTAGGCAGTTTTCCTGTCCTGACCGGCTGCTCCCAAATAAACAGCAGCCACTTGCTAAATAACTGACTGGGAGACTTCATATATATTATAAATGCTTGGTCGATAGCTCAGGCTTGTTACTAATCAGATCTTACATTAAATTAACCCATATTTCTTATCTATGCTTTTTACCTCATCTTCTACATGTCCTGCTTCCTTGGCAGCTGGCTTGTGTCTCCTCTGACTTCACGCTTCATTCTCCTAGTTTGGTTGTCCCTCCTATCATTCCTGCCTGGCTACCTGCCAATTGGCTTTTTATTAAACCAATCTGAGTGGCAAATCTTCACTGCACAAAAGGATTATTCCACATCGATGACCATATTCCTTATCTTGTGAAAGTTAGTCACCCCACTGCACTGAGCAATATCACCTCAGTTTTTTTAATAGAATCTTAACATATCTTAATCAGTCATGTGCTTGGAAGGAATGGAGGGTCTGTATCTCCCCTTCTTTGTATCTCCATCTTCCTTTACCCAAAGCATGTAGTCTCCAGGTGGGGCTATTATACCAGCTGAAATAACCCAAGTTCCACATAAGTCAATGAATGACTGAGAAGGGGAATATATAACTCATCTCTTCCTGCTTACCCCTTTGCAATGTCATCCAGACTTTCAGAGAAACAGAATTCATCTTTAATTGCACCACCCCCTTGTATTTCATTGGCCAGGTGGATTTTTTTTTTATTTCGACTTAAATTTAGCACATATCAATTACAGCTAGCAAGGCCTGTCATGGTGCTCACAGGAAATTCCACGGGACCTTCTTCACACTGGGGATAGAGAACATCTGCTACTTTCATGTTCAGATGCCAGGATTTAGAGGTCAAGGCTGAAGGCTTTGGGGATCAGGGCAAGTGTCAGGCTGCAAGCAGCATAATGAATGGCAGTTGCTGACTAGCTCCTTTTGCCTGTTCTCGACAGGGAATATTGCCATTCAGTATAATGAGCTGGGACTCAGTGTGTTAAACACATCTAGCTTGGCCAGTAAGGCCGGCTATGCCTTTCCCCTCCTAGTTCAGAACAGCATTTTCATCTTGGAAAAAATTATATTGAGGTCTTCATTAGTGGCACCCAGCAGGGGGAAGCATCTATGAGGGCTGATAGCAGGATGGCTAGAAAAAAAAAATGACCAGCTTTTGTGCAGGGAGTTGAAGGTTTAAGTTGTCTGAACTGGAAAGGGTCTGAAGAGGCGATTATGTTAAGCAAGTAATGTGTATCGGTAACATGGAATCAAATTATGAGGGTCAGTAGCTTTCTGGCTTTCCCACTGCATTAAATGAAGACATAATATTGCATTTGTGCTGGGTACTTCTCGAGGCCACACAGTGTCAACACTGTCCAGTCGTCCATACTTCACAGCATGTCACCTCTAATTTCATGGGATTATCTGCACGGCTGCTTTATTAGATGCTTATGATCTTGAGAGTCCTCTGAACTCACAGCAGGGCCATGCAGAGTAGTCATTATTGTGAACACTTCTCTTACATACAAAACTCCTATTGCCATCATGTCATGAAGATAGATGCACCTCACTCTCTTGCTTCCGAAAGTCTTCACTTGTTGGCACCACAAGCTGCCTAAGGGGAAAACACTGAATATGAAAGATGCATTGGAGGACTCTGTTTAAAAAGCTGTCAGGAGACCTCAGAAATCTATGGGGCCCCTTGTAGTGTAGATTATTACTTAACCCTAGCATAGGAATGGACTTTGGGAGCCCATCCCACATAGAGGGATACTCCCTGAGCCTAGGCACAAGGGGGTGGGCCTAGGCCCTATCCCAAAGGATATGACAGACTCAGAAGACCCCCTTATGGAAGGCCTCACCCTTCCTGGGGAGCAGAAAGGGTACAGGATAGGTAGGGTGTTAGTTGGCAGGGGGAGGCCGTGGAGGAGGGGAGGGAGAAGGAATTGGAATTGGAATTGACATGTGAAACAATCTTGTTTCTAATTCAAATAAGAAAATTCAAAAAAAAAGGAGCTGTCAGTACAGTGGATTAATATCAGAAAGGTATGTGGTCCCCAGTGAGCAGCATCAGGGTCTCCTAGCAACATAGGAGTGATACTGATCCCATTGAATCAGAAACTCGGGGATAGGCTCAGTGGCCTGTGCTTTAACAAGCCTTCCAGGTGACTGTGAGGTTAGTAGAAGCATGGTGATCACATTCATGGAACAAAGAAAGGGACAGACCTATATATTTGGGGATGAGGCAATAGACAAGTTATACAAAATACCCGCCTCCATTGAATCTCATTAAATTGCAAAGATATTTTGTTCTGATAAAATGTCCCTCCATATGCCAACAGAGCCTTCAATCATGGCCAAGGCCATGACATCCTTCACTGGAACCAGTCTTTTATATTCTTTGGTAGCAGAGAATTCATAATGTCTCATGAGTGATGTCTGTGTATTACAGAAACATCCCCCTTGCGATCTGCATTTCCATGGCCATCATCACAGTTGGCTATGTGTTAACAAATGTGGCCTATTTTACGACTATCAGTGCTGAGGAGTTGTTGCTATCCAATGCTGTGGCAGTGGTAAGTCCACATTAAAATCATGCCAGTTCAAATTTAGGTTAATGAGTTGATGGAGCTTTGTAGTGATTCCCTTGAGGAGAACGGGTTTTGGAAGTCAGTGATTTTTTCTTGACCTGAATGATAATATTCTGAAAATTTTGAGCACACCTTACTTAGGGTATATCCTATGATACAGCTAACCTCTGCCATAGATCCTCTTTGTTTTGATTTTAATCTCCTAGAAAACATTTCCACATATAGCTGCCTAAAACTCCACCAAGGCTTCCTTAGAATAAGGAATTATTTCCCCAGCATGTCTCTAAGGACAGGTGGACTGTTACTGAATGTAAATAAATGCAGGTTTTGATTTCCAAAGTGAGACCCACTCTTCTCATTTCTGGGTATAAACTTTTCAGATGTTGACTTGAATTCTCTCTTCAAATTATCATTCTTGAAATTTCAGGTGGACCATGGCTATCTATTTCTAGCATAACCTTGGAATAGTGGCGTTGGGGTACTCATAAATTTGGGAACAACTAGTCAATTAGATGTTAAAGACATGTTGCTGTAATACTTGAAGATGCCAGTGTGCATTGTAGCTCCATAAGAAATATATACATATAATTCTAAAGAATTCCCCCCAATTTATTTGACCACAGGATCATACTTGTTTCCGAAAATCATGTTATGAGACTGCTGTTATGTCACACAGACTTTTATTTTGCTCGAACGGTTTAGCTTGTAAGAAAGAATTCACTCATTAACTCAAAAGCAGGAAGGGTGAAAAAAAATAAAAGCATCCAATGACATTCCCATTCATGAATGTCAGTCAGTTCCTTTTAAAATAGGATCGCTTCCTATCAACACCACCCACAGGGGATAATTATCTCATTTTGTGTGAACCAATGTATGGGTTCACTGTATGAAAAGGGCTTTGTCCACTGCCAGGCGTACTATCGGGCAGTGACGTGTATAAAGCTTCTGGGTGTCTGGTCAGTTGCCTCACCTTTCTAGGCAAAGGGCAGCACTAATTTTTGGAGAGCATAATGGGGTCTGTTAATTGCATAGCCCCAGCTGCATCAAGAAATAATGAAAAAAATCATACATAAAAAAATATAAAGTGTATCCTTCATAGAAATGTACAGGGTGGCATGTGTGACAGCCCACAGGAAATCTCAGAACTTTTTCTACCTTTTATATTTCCTGTCACTTGTCAGGATTGGAATTGTGTTCTAGCTTTTTACAGGAAACCCTGGAAGGAAATGACAGCTTCCTAGGGTGGGGGAGGGCCAACTCCTTAAACAGGTTCAGCTGGTATGACTGTACTGGGGGAAAGAACGGTGCAGACGGGCTCATTCGCACGCCATAAATGATCAGCTTGTCGATTGTCTTGTTTTACCGTCTAGCACCAGGGTTGGTATGTGAAACAAATACCTGTAACTCTTGTGAGGGCGAATCTATACCCCGATCATAAATAGGAGGCTTTCTGGGCTAAAGGGCAGGTATTGTGCAGAACCATCTCTGTCTCTAAAAGTAGAATTCCCGAATTGAGCCTCTTCCTCTGATCAGAGCCAGAGACGTTATACATCATAGCTGATAAAGATTCAGTAAATGGATCGTTGCTTTGAGGAGAGAGAGGAGGCGACTGTTTAGACCTTTGTCCACAGGTCCGAGACAAGCAATGCCATGGTACCCGCTTCTGATGATTGTCTGTGGAGTCAGTTTGACCCTAACCAAAAAGCAGGATTATAAAACATTCACGTAGCACCAGGCTAATAGAAAGTCAAAGAGCAAGTTTGGCCTAAATTGTTTCATTTTATTCCACTTTCTGGGAAAGCATTAATTTGCTTCGTTCTTTCTTTCCCCAGACCTTCTCCGAGCGGCTGCTGGGAAATTTCTCATTAGCAGTCCCGATCTTTGTTGCCCTCTCCTGCTTCGGCTCCATGAACGGTGGCGTGTTCGCTGTCTCCAGGTGAGCGAGTTCATGTATTTTCAGAAACACATTTCTGTTTTAGAGATTGGATGTGATAAGGATAACTTTTAAAGAGAAAAGCAATAGTGCTTCCGAACCTGTTGTTTTTAAAGGGATATGCAAGTTTGTGGCAGATACAAGTGAAGCATGTTTGATTCTGTCCAGTAGAGGGCGCTGCGTGTCTACACATAGCTCACTCTGAGCATTTTTTAGAGTCTGTCTACAGAGTCTAATAACAGCTTTTATTTCTGGCGATAAAGTCTTTTGTTTTCCTGAAGGTGCCACGAAAAAGAGTAAAGTAGAAAGCAGAAATAACCACTCCGCAATCTGTAACCCTTTTGCTTTGTTTGATGGTACGAAAATCTCTTTTGTTTCCTTATGTTACAATCTAAATCAGATAGATATGAATGCCACATGCATGTACATGTGTGTGCAAAACACGTGTGCTAGATTGGATTGACACTAGCAATCTAGAACTGACTTTGCCAACAGCTCTTCGTTTGTAGGAAAAGCTCTACTCAGTGAGATGCTGCCATGCTTTTCCTCAAAGCATAAAAGGGTATGCCCCAGGTATTGTACGTCTTAAAATGAGACTTAGGATGAAATCTGCCCTTTGTCTGCAAATGACCAGCTAAGAATGCCAACATGTTGAGTGTGAGAAAGATGCATACATATTGCATTGGGGGTTTCAGCATATTACCTCTTTGAATGATTGATTCTATATAGTCAACACCTCCCATGTTTTTCTCCCACCAGGTTATTCTATGTTGCCTCCCGAGAAGGGCACCTTCCAGAAATCCTCTCCATGATTCATGTCCACAAGCACACTCCTCTGCCAGCTGTTATTGTTTTGGTAATGCACATTAACACGTATATTTAGACTGAGCCTCACAAAGCCTTTAGCAAAAGAGGGAATGGGAACAGGCATCTTAATTCAGCACTCAGTTGGTGCTCAGTGTAACTCAGGTGGTATCATGTTTGTAAGGCCAGAGATTTTGCCCTGGCTTCCTGTGACTCTGTGTTTCTGATGTGTATGGGATGCCCTGGGTATGCTTCATCTCACTTCTCTTTCACCTTGGAAAAAATTTGCAAGCTTTATAATGGGAAGTGAGGGATGTGGCTTCTTTCCTTGGCAGAGGAAAGGAAAGAAGGGGAAAACAGTAAGGACACAGTCTCACCTACTGACCAGAGCTCAGCTAAAAGCAGACTGTGCAGGCATTACCCGTTGTCTCCTCCTGGACCCGTCATAATGAAACACACACAACAGAATAAAAGCGTAGATGAAACACTAAGCAGTGAAATGGTTCTCTGATTGTAACTGAGACCTGTGAGAGTCAACCTTACAGAGAAGAAAGGGAAAGCCCACATGTAAATTGAAGCTGTGGAATTCTCTATGCCGGGAACAATATTTGTGAAATGTGGGATACAAAAGACTGTAAAAGGTGTAAGAGCCCTCAAATACCCATTGGCAATGCTATAGTCATTTTTATTTTAGTAACATTTTTTTTCTCAACTGGAATGTGCTGTCGAGAGTGCCCTAGGAAGCACTGAACACTTTTTTCTTCTCTGTGCATTTAATTTGTTTCAGAATGTCTCCCTGAAATTTCTTTTTAAAGTGTGCACACACTCAGGGAGGAATCTAGAGGCTAACGTCACTTGTGGCAACAGGATGTATTATTCCATGAAGAGGGCTTTCATTGAAGCCTCTGCTATCAGTCGAGCCATCCTTGGCTGTTTCACTGCAGAGGATTACTGGCCTACTCTCTAGGCTTCCTTCTTTCCTGGTCTTGAGGGTCACATGCAGTTAGCACAAGGGGAGAGTTGACCTGGAGCAGGAAAAGGTCAATGTTTTGCATTCAGTAACCAAAACATTCACCTCCACGTAGTTGTTTCCCGTGTATGGATCCCTAGAGCATCTCAGAAATCACCTCAGAGCATCCTTTAAGTTTTCTAGTGGAGTCCGCATTTAATATTTATGATGGGAACTTACTAATAATTGATTCTACATTGATCTTGAATGACTGAATGTCTTTTTTTCTCTTTTTATTCTTTGGAAACACATTGTCTAGAGTAAGGTGAAGCTTGTATACTGTGCTAGCCTTGACAGCTTGAGAACCTGAGTTTAGTCCCCCCAGAACCACATTTTTAAAATTGCTGGCATAGTGGCTTGTGTTCATAATCCCAGTGCTGGGGAGGCAGAGACAGGGAGATCCCTGGAGATCACTGGCCTGCCAGCCACCCTAGCCTATCTGGCCAGTTCTAGGCCAATGAGAGACCCCCATCTCACAGGGTAGTTACTTGAGGAATGACAGGCTGAGAACAATAGCCAAGTTTGTCCTCTGGCCTCCACATGCATTTATAAACATACCTGCATTTATGTACATGCATATAGATGAACACACATGTACACAAAACCTAAACAGCAACAGAAAATACTTTTGCTCCTTGTCAGTGAAAAGAAAGGAACTGACAAAGTAACAAAACAGCAGATTCACATAAAGTTCCAACTGAAACTGGGGTGATGACAGCACCCTCCAGCTGAGGCTTAGTTGCAGAACACAATATGGAAAAGAAGTTTGTGGAATCTAGGTTTCCATCAGGATGGTGACTTCTGTTATAAATAACCATTGGAAGGACACTTATAATGTTGTTGCTTGGAATTGCCGCCTCCTTCTCAGTTCTGGGCACTTACTTTGTCTCCTCTCCTCCACTGCCAGCATCCTTTGACGATGATAATGCTCTTCTCCGGAGATCTCTACAGTCTTCTGAATTTCCTCAGTTTTGCCAGGTGGCTTTTTATGGGGCTGGCAGTTGCTGGGTTGATTTATCTTCGATACAAACGTCCAGATATGCATCGTCCTTTCAAGGTAACCTCAACCATCTTGATGGGTTTACATAAATCTCTCTCTTAATACCTAGACCTCTTTTTGTCAGAACCTGGTGATGGGGAGGTTGGGGTGGGGTGTGGTCCTTCAGTGTAACATATTTAACTCTTGCAGGAAGCACTTGCTAATATGCTTTGCTTACGGAAAGTATATGTATTTTGAAGTATGATATAGTGAACTCATCACAGATTTTTATGTGTTTAGAACAGTTAGTGTTAAGAGGTTTTTCATTGGGTTTTCATGCATGGCATTGTGTGTTCAGAGGGTGGGATACTCCTGTCTGTCTTCAGAACCAGTTGTTGACACAGCTGGGCTGTGAAAGAAAGTACTTCATTAGTTGTAACTGGGAAGGGGTGCTGCTTTACAGATTAGTAAGTGTTTTAACTTGTTAACCTTGTAGTAGAGCAGCTTCCCCCATATACTCTAAAGCAATGGTTCTCAACCTGGGGAACCTGGAGGCCGACTGACCTTTCACATGGGTCTCCTAAGACAGTCGGAAAACTCTGATAATTACATTACGAGTCATAACAGTAGCAAAATTACAGTTATGAAGTAGCAACGAAGAAACCTTATGGTTTGGGTCACCATAACGTGAGGAACTGTATAAAAGGGTCTCAGCATTGGGAAGGTTGAGAACCACTGAACTAAAAAATATGAAATAACAAAGGAAGAGCTTGCTTGTTGCCAAGCAGGACACCCATTTACCGTAACCACCATTTTCCTGTGGGAGGGCAAGAGAGCAGTCTTGTCATCTTCTTAGCCCCAGCTGTCCATGGGTCAGTGCTTGCTTTTAAGACATAGCACTGATAATGCTGCCAGCCATGTTATCAGGATCTGTTTCTAATTGCATTCATCGCCACATGCTTGCAGCATCTTTATTAGCTGTTGACTAGGAGTTGGCCTGTTTTATTCCCATCAGGTCAGAGTGTGAGTCTCAACAGGAAATCAATATTCACAGGGAGGTGTTAACATGGAGCATGGCCACTGGTGCTCTTGACTCCTTGTGAAAATGGGTTCTAATCATAATTATCAAACCACCAATCTTTTAAGATGACAACTGTAAATTATAAGGATACACTGCTAGTTAAAGAATTTGAATAGATGATCCACTAGCAAACACCTTTTCCTAGCCTGAGACTTAGTTCAAACATTCTAAACCAAGTTAAAGTTAAGAAACCACACCTAATATATGCTCTGTGCTGCTTGGAGAGGTTTTGCTGCTTAAATGAGTTGGGGCCTACTGGCTGGTAATGTAACTAATGCCCTCCATCCCTGGTCTCTTGAGCTTTATGTGAAGCTGTTTCTTTTGGCTGTGTTCCAGGTGCCTCTGTTCATCCCAGCATTGTTTTCCTTCACCTGCCTCTTCATGGTTGTCCTCTCCCTTTATTCAGACCCATTTAGCACCGGGGTCGGCTTCCTTATTACATTGACTGGAGTCCCTGCATATTATCTCTTCATTGTATGGGACAAGAAACCCAAGTGGTTCAGACAATTGTCAGGTAAGATGTTTAAGCATCTTGGACCCATCAAGAGACTATGTTATAGGAAACCCATAAAAGTGCACACATCCAATATGCAAACTCTTAAAGTTTAAAGCTACATGAGGTACAATTGTTATTAAAGTGAATTACAGCGTTTTAATTGCCGCTCCAAGGAGAAAGACAGGCAGGTCATTCAGAGTGCAGCCCCTATTGAATCCTGTTGGGTATTTAATTTGGGTGGTTGTAATCATGGACATTTTAGAGAATAACTTCTTTAGGCAGAGGGTTTTTTTTTTTTCAGAACTGTAAACAGCCTCAACTCCTCTTTTAAATCCCCTAGTGATACAATGATTGCTTTCCTGGGTTGAGTGAAGTCTAGTGCTCAATGATGTGAGATTTCTTGGTGAGTGAGATGGGTACCTTCAAATGTCTTAAACATCATGGCTATAATACTACCTTGTTAGGAAAAGGGAGCTGCAGAGGGTACTGGTAACAGCAAAAACCATGAAGAGAATAACAGCTTTCATTTCTTGTTTAGTTTCTACATGCTTGCATGTGTGTGACCACTGTCAGTCCTAACAACCATCTGAAGTCATTGCCCCTATTATGTAGATATTGAGTTATGTCACCAGAGAATTCATGTCACTCTTACAAGTCATGTGGATGTAAGTAAAAGAGCAAGGGCTCAAACTCAGACGGTTGCCTTTGATGAAGCAATGCCTGCTACTGAGTATGGAGGAGAGAAGGTTGAGGCTGAAGACAGAGAACAGGACATGGGTGGTTTCTTCAGTGATAGTGATGAGGACATTAGCAGGACCAAGAGGAAGTTAAAAGCACTAAGGAGGAAAAGCTGGCTCAACTGGTAGTCAGTTAAGACGTGGAGGAGAAAATGCACAAGATCAACTGGCCAGAAGGGTGCTTTGGAAGAGCCTTGGGTTTAGGGGAGCTTGTGATCCCTTTCCCTGCTTCAGGCTCTCAGATCAATCACCAAGGACCCATGTCCAAGATTCTGTTTCCACCAGGTAAGGAAGCCAGGGCTCAGCAAGAGGGAGAATTTAGAAACAAGAATACAGAATCTTAAGCCTTACAGCCAGAATTTGAACTCTCATTTGCTGGACATCAATACCCACTGTGTTAGAATTTCATCACTATGACAAAATATAAGATCAGGAACAATTTAGAGGAAGAAAAACTTAGTTGGGTTCATGGCTTCAAAAGTTTCAGTCCACGTGCCTTCATGGTTTGTTGCCCTTTTCCGTTCTGGGACACTTCAGTCCTGGGACTGGCTTCATTCTGCTCTGATGGTGATGGTTCTATTGCTTCTAGAGGCCAGGGAGCACCTGATGAGGTGAAGCTACAGGCGGGATGCAGAGGACTCCATAGAACAAGAGACTAAGGTTAAAAAATACCTTTTTAAATGCAGTCCTCAGTCATATAATTGTTCCAAACAAACCCAGTTTCAAGTGACAAATTCAGCTAAATACCCATCAATGGATTAATCCCCGTGACCCTTGACACAGGAAAGGCACATTAGGGTAAATAAAATTTTCCTCATTTAAGTTGTTTTAAGTTTTGTGATACTGACATTGGTTAAGTCACATTAAATATATTTTCAAAACCAGAAATGCTGTTGTTTATATGTTCGGTGAGTTTAGAATACAAATTCCTTTTTTGTTTGTTTTCTATTTGGTCTTAATTTACTTAGTTTACCATGGCTAATCTTAAAAGTCAAAGGGAGGACAGGAATTTGAAGCTCTACATCTATGAAATCCCAACAATATGGTCACCTGAATAAGAACTGCAGAATGACAACACAGGGTGACATGCCAAAGTGATAGAGGAAATCTCACAAGGCCCCATCCACAGATGAAGAGCAACAGGCAAACAGTGACTGACCAGAGAGGGAGGATTGCTCTTCTCCCAGGCCAAGCCCCAATCCCAGGTGGCCATCCCAGCCCTATACACATCTACAAACCATCAATACACAATGGACTCAGCATGTTAACATACATGTGTATATAAAAAGAACAATTAAATAAATCATAAATTTAAAAGAGAATTGTGACATGGTAGGAGTTGGTGGTTAGAGAGGGAGAAATAATGTAAATACAATACTCATATATGAAGTTCCCAAAAATATAAAAACCCAAACTAGAAGTCTAGTGATTGATGGGAAATTTTTCAACAAGGGAGTGTTGGTACAAAATAACAAGAAAAACATTTATTTCTCTACTCTCTAATATATTCCAAGAATACATTCAGAAACCAGCCATTTTAAAGTATTGTCATGACTCCTTACCAACTGAATTGGCATTTGGCTACTTCAGATTTTCTACCACTCTTTCTATTCCGATTTAACTTTCTAGCTGGCAACACTATTCTGGAAAGAAATGCTGCTATGTAAATTAGGATTTCAAGGCTAAGGGAAATACGCTGATTCCCAGAGTACTTGTATAGTTCTGTATCCTGCAAAGCTGTATTTATTTTTCTGTAGGACATATTTAGTTAGGTTTTCTCTATTGGAGACACTGGACTATAGATCTGAAGGGAGACAAGTTCTGTTAAAATATTTAGGATTAGTGTCACTTGGCTTCTTGCTACAGTTGAGGATTGAGCTGGGAGACTGAAGTACACAAAGAGACCTTGAGCACGAAAGAAAGTCCAACCCCTAGAAGAAAGAGCCAGCAGCCTTTGAGAGGAAGAGAACATGGAGTGAAGAAAGGGCAAGTTCGCCATTTTGTCCCACCTAGAAGGTTTTCTGTCCTTCCCTGCTCAGTCAGCCAGTTCTAGCTGGTCTCTCTACCGCAGGTGTGCTAGCAGCCACTCGGTCAGTTTAGATGCATCATTTTCATACATGATTTTTCTTTGTTGCCATTCTGCTCCTGTCATTTTGGAGTTCTTGCTATTTTTTTTTCTGCCTCTAATATTGTTTTGAACATCTCCAAGGCCACTGAAGTTAGTGTCAGTCATTTGTGAAATGAACGGCGGTGGAGGAGACCCACAATGGTGGTTCGGTTCTCGGGGATGCTCTGACTTTTTGCCAGGAACACAGCCGTTCTACTTTAAACTGTAATCATCACTGCAAATCTTTATCTTTATAGACACCTTGAAAGGAAGTAGGAAAAAACAACAGTCCTCTGTAATTCTGTTTGATTTTCCTCTTAGGCAGCGTTCTTGTAGTAAAATAAAGAAAATTTATAATATTTATTGCTGTAGTGGCAAGTATTTTTGTAGCCGTTGGCCAAAACAAAATACACAGACTCGAAGCAAGAGCCTCTTGCAGCAGTACTAGACCCTTCCTCTAAAGACATACTTTCTGTTAGAGAGAAAACTGCATGTGAGCTTGGAGGCAGGAGAGCCTTGCTTGAAGCAATTTGTGCAGTCGTTTGATATCATGTTGCTTTGCTTGGTAAATTGTCTAGATTTTATGTTATGCTTTTTTATCTGATTACATGTGAATGGATTAACCCTGGGAAAATGTGACAGTCTAACAAAATGCACCTGGTCAGGACTATCTCCAGAAATTGCAACCAGACATCATTCAGAAACTGGTACAAGGCTAGTTGGCACAGATAGCCAGGGAATGTTTCTAGCTTCTTAGCCCAAGGATGTGAGATTTCTAGAGATTTGATGAATACCTCTGGCCACAGGATGCCAGTATTGAACCACTTTTTAGGTTATAGCATTTCCAGAGCTAGAATGAAGCATTCTCTTAAGGGGGTGGTCAGATATGCAGAAAGCTTTCTCCCTGTCTGGAAGACAGCAGTTAATTCTACTGCTTGGATGTTTATATGATTTATTTATCTACAGAAAGGCAAACTTCCCAGTGAAGGAAAAGGGAGGCAGGTTCTACCCCGATGTGTACAGATACACAGAGGTACTAGTACAGCCCTGGTAACCCAGGCCAGGGCTAATGACAGCCATTGAACTTGGTAGCCTCTAGCTATCCATTCAACCTGATCACAGCTGAGAGCCAGTGGGCTGCCTAACACCTGGCCCCTCTTGCTCAGGTAGAGATAGGGAGGCAGGTATATTTAAACAAAATCTTTGATTGTAAAAACAAGCAAACAACAAAACCCAATGTGGCTGACATGAGCCGAAAGCCTACAATCTGTCTTTGTGGACAGCAGGCTTGCAACTCCAGAGCTTAAAAGCATGTGTTGCCCAAAGTGTATCAAGATAGCTTTATCTGGGACAGACCATTGAAAGCTGGTTAATGCCTTTGCAGATTTTCCCAAAAGATTAGAGTGCACCTTTTTCATTCATTAAGTTTGCCTGTATTTCTTAGGGGCTCAGAAGATTCTCCACATAATAAATATTATGCATATGAAAGCTTTTAAAAACCCTTCTTAAGAAAACATACTATGATTTTTAATATAAGTGCTGGGGCAGAGTGGCTTGGCACTGCTTCCCAAGCTCACTCAATCTTGGCTGCTACTCCCCTATGGATACCAGGTGTGATGGGGTGAGTGAGATTTTGCCAAGTCAGTTGTTATTCCAGTTTATTTCAGGAATAGCAAGGGAACATGAAAAAATAAAACTGAAACCACACCATGGCATTGCTTTAAGTCCTGTAGGTTGTAATTATGGAAAACTCCAGCTGTAGGTCATTGGCTCACCTTTGTTTAGAGAGGCAGTAATATTATTATTGTAGGGCCACTAATCTTATCGTGAGTGTGAATAGAATATATGGCACTCCAAAGCCAAATGTTCTGCAGTGTTTTTAGAAGCTCCCTTGCCTCCACTGAACACCCTGTGCCAGACCCAGTGTTGTAGGACAGACAGCCTAGAAGGAAAAGTTGGGGAACCAATGAGTACCTGAGGCCAATGCCAATCTGTTTACTGAACACTCAACCATTATACAAATTATGCCACTCCCAGAATCCAAAAGGGAGAATTTAGAAATGCCAGGGGGGATAGTCAGCAGGGCTGAGGAGGCAGAACCTTATGATTTGGGCCTCTGCCTAGCCCTGCTGAAAGAAGAATACAAGCTGCGCTTTCAGAAGGACACATGCAAACATGGGCATCCCAGCTGCTTCCATGGCTCTGGAATGGTTGTAAGTTCCCACACCAGCAAGAGATCTAAGAAGGCAACAGTTGGAAACTCACATTATTGGAAGGTACTAGGAAAAGCTTTGCTGTCAGGTTTGGAGGACCAGGGATGAGTGAGAAGACAAGGATGTAGAGATTAACTTGGGGAGCTAAGCAGGGATGTGTTGAAACACGTACTTGAGGCCATGTTTCTTTAACTCCATTGATTTTCTTTACAACTCTTGTTTTTCTTTTACCTTGTAGCCTACTATCATATGGCTTGGCTCCTTGTCTGCCTGGAAAAGACACTTTCCCCATACTGTTGACAGATAATTTTTCCATAAGCCTAGTTTAATAGGATAATTCTGTAAATATGGCGTTTGATTGTTGCTCTCATGGCAGAGTGGACTGTTAAAAAATACAATTTATTTAAGAATTATATAAGGTTTAATTAATTTGAAAATACTATACATAAACCCTTTACAATAAACACAGGATTAAAAAATAATAATGTGCCCAGAAAACTTCCTTAGGGACTATGACTATATTTGTTACTTTTCTTTGTGCTGTGACAACATACTTGAGAAGAGGCAACTTAAGGGAGGAGGGGTTGCTCTGGCTCACAGTTTGAGTGACTACAGCCCATCATAGCAGAAAAGGCAAGACTGCAATGGTTTGTGAGTGGCTGATCACACTGTCTGCAGTGAGGGGGCAGAAACCATGTAACAACCTATAGAAGTAAGGCTGGGTTATAGAGTCTCCATGTCAGCCCTCACATTCTTCAGTGAAGCTGCACCCCTTAAACTTTTCACAGTTTTCCTAAACAGTACCAATGGATGGGAACTAGTGTTCAAATACATGAGCCTCTGGGGGACATTTAGCATTGAAACCACAAAAATCAGAGAACAAAAGGTGAAAACAGCTTTTTACAATATTGTTTGAAAGGCCTGTTAGAATAATGAGTCATTGGAAAGGAGAAAGAATACCTGGGCAAGAGATGATTTGCTTCTGAATCCTTTAAGAGGACAGAGCCTGGGGTTTCCAAGATTGGGGGGCTTCTGAAGATGTTCTATGGGGGTTGGTGACAATAACTAAGAAAGAATGTACCTGAAATCATCACCACAGAGCTTGGCACTCTAGGGCAGTGGGTAAAAAGTGTCCTTAGATGTAATACAACTCAGGTATTTTTATATTTTAGTGTCTGTTACAGTGACCTCTTGCTGGGTTAAGCCTTCAGCTTCTAAATTGGAGACTAATGATTAAAATTGGAGCAAATTTGGAATTGTGGACGATGCTTAATGTAACTTGTCTAAGGATCAGACCTTAATGACCCAGATTAATCCAAGGTTCTCAATCTATTTATGAGATAAACAAGGCCTTGATAAACATGGTAATTTGCTCAACAATACTACAAATTAGACACTGGAAATAATACTCTTCTCCTGACTGTCCTGAGAAATTGGTTATCATCTCCTATGTGAAAAAAGAACAAACCCATTTTGAGCTGAACATGAAGCATATTTGTAAACATCTATTTGTATCTTGGTCCCATTGTCTCAAAATATTTTCAGCCTCCTGGTTCATAAATAAGTGTTCTTATTTGAATACAAAATATTAATATATTCTTACTGAGGAAGCATCATGGGAAGTTGTAGAAGTGACAAGTAAATTAATTGAGCCTGATAAGATTGTAATGAAGTAAATAATTCTTGAAAGTGCACTACAAAGAAGGTGGCTGTGCACTCTCAGTATTCATCCCCAAATAATTCACATTTTGCTATTTTTATGCCGTTTTGATTTTCATGCATTTTAATCTTTCCTTATCTCTTTGTAGAGAGAATAACCAGAACATTACAGATTATACTAGAAGTTGTACCAGAAGACTCTAAAGAATTATGAACTTCATGAATCGAAATCTTGGCCATCTGCCCAGGACTGAGATACAAAATGGATCTTTATTTCAAGAAAACACAGCTTTGGTGATGGACTAGAGGAACCAGTTATTTCTATTCATATCTTCTAGTGTATTCAAACTAATTTCTGAGCAGTTTACTGGTAACTCAGTGTATTTATAGAAAGCTAATATGCAAATCACACAGTGAGGCAAGCTCAGTTCTTGAGTCTGGTGCTTACCCATTGAGGTAAGAGAAAAAGACAAAGGGCATTGGCAACTGGGATATGATTCTCTGCAACATTTCTTATAGTGACTGAGAACCTTCAAATGGAAGACCAAAGGGTTTTCTGTATATAGGGCATCTGTAAACATAGCTTTACCTACTGGGGCATCTATACTGTGAAAAGAGTTTTCTACTTTTCTGAAAAAAAGAAGTCATTATTGTGGCAAAGGGGCCAGAAATAACTTTATCTCACATAGACCTTGGATTGTTTTCCTTTAGTGACCAACATGGCTGTCACTTATCTTTCAATGAGTTATACTCAGAGCATCAGAACAAAAGATGGGGTAGTTGTGTGTGTGTGTGTGTGTGTGTGTGTGTGTGTGTGTGTGTGTGTGTGTAGGTTGAGATTGAACTCAGGGCTTTGCAAAAGCCAGGCAAGCACTCTACCATTGAGCTACATCCTCAAACCTTAATGTTCTTGATTGCTTTAAAGAAGCATTTCTTTTTTTTTTTCTTTGTTGTTGTTTTCATTAGTTCAAATTAGGCACAAGCTTGTTTCACATGCCAATCCCTTCTCCCTCTCCCTCCCATCATCCCCACATCTCCTCCCCCACTCCTGACCTACCCCCCACCCCATCTACCCTCCACTCCCCAGGCAGGGTAGGGTCTTGAGGCTATTATTTATGAGGCAATCCTAGGAACTGAGTTTGAATAAAAATCATGGAGAATTTGTTAGGTTAAATATGATTTCACTTATTGTTGGGAGGTTTGGTGTTTGGAATGTCACTTTGTTTTCATCCTGGTTCCTTAGTTCTGGAAAATGTGTACTTTTTGGTATGACATCCATTGATGAGCTGCCTCTTCGGAAATTTTAATCTCTACAATACAATATGAACCTGGGAGAAATTGCCCAGGAAACTCTAAATATGGAGTTTTATCTCTATAACCACATTCATATACAGTGTTAGTAATTCTAATCACTTTTCCTTTTACTTTGTGGCTATTTTTACATGGTGATGATTTCTGACAATGTGTACATTCCCTTTACAGTTCTGCTAAAATATGTCTCTGAATAAAACTATCTGGATCAATTAGGAAAAGCACAGATTTACATAAAAACTATGGAAGAAATGTCACTGCTTAGTAAGATGTTCAACTGATCTCTTAAAACATTTCTACTTATAAATCTAGGCTTTTCCAATCATTTCTTCACTTTAGTTACAATTCAACTTGCAAAAGAGGTAATTGCGAACAAACCTATTAGAAGGGGAGTCTTCAGTATGTGTGTTCAGCTGGATGATGCAGGGTCAGAGTTAGAGAACACTGGACAATTTTTAATGGGGATTAATGTAATGATGGGATTTTTAAACTCTTATTTCTAACATCCAAAGATTAAATGCTCAGCATGGCCACAGTAAGTTTCATCCCTTACATTCTGACCACTTAAAAATGAGACATTTAAAAATTATCCAAATTAACAAAACCATTGAGTTCATAGTCAATTGCCCAAAGTACAAATGATGATTTTAATCCAGAACAGTTCACCAATCCAGGTTTTTAAAGCCCCAATGACATTTAATATATACCCAAAGTTGACTTTTTTTTTCAAAAGGCTAAACAAGTGTTTATTTTCCTAAGTGAACTTGTAACAATTCCTTCTGTTTTTCCTAACATGGGCTTTCCAAACCTTTTGTATGGTTTCTAGAACCAAAATAGTATTGCTTTGTTGCCATCTATATCTAGCAGATGTTGCTGGAGGTACATATTTTTATATTGTTATTTTTACACCAGACCCATAAGATTTAACATGGAGGAGTCTTCTTAGCTATGAGATGGAGTAAAGCCATGGAGAGGGTCCTGCGAGTCTTGGTTCTTCCTGAGACTAATGTGCTCTTGGGCTGGTTGGTCTCATAGCAATATCTATTTGTCTTTCCTTGTGTGAGCTAGTCAGGGTACACTTTATCATCCCTCCTCTCTTTACAAAGATTCTTTTTGTAGTATTAAATTTATAATGCCATTGTAATACATTTTAAACAAGCATAAAAAAAATCAGTATTTCTTTAAAATACCGTCCATGGAGTTGCATTTTGTCTTATTTTGAAGTTATATTCTAAAAGAACACATTTCTTTAATCATGGAATTCATGTTCATAATTGTTTTATTGAGAACTTGTAAAACAGACTTTTTATTTAGAAATTCTCCTGCACACTTGTAATATATAGTTTTTATACAAAGTAAAATTTTCTCATATTTTAGGATAATGTGTGTATATACACATTAGTGTTAGTGTGTTAGTGTTTGTGCTGGTGTACATATTTGAATGTTTATATAAAATTATGATTTGATTACTATAACCCAAAGCTGGATGCAGCCTGAACAGCTTAAGATATACAGTACTCTATTTTGAAATATTCTCTGTTTAGTATATAAAGCCTTGAACATGGAATTTTTAAAGCATGTTGATTTCTAAATTTTAGGTGCAATTTTATTCTCCTCACATAATTATATTTCCACTGATTGACATTCTAACAGTGCTATTTTGTCTCTTTTGAAGCATTCAATTCTCCCCTTTGACTTCAAGTGGCTCTTATAAATGGTGGGTTTGCTTAGCTTCAGGAAGACCACCATTTGTCTTTCTTCAGGCGATTGGCCATGTGTCCTAGCAAACATGGCTGCGCCCACTTCCACTTGTAAGATCACAGGTGTATACCCACAATCTGCATGTGTGTTTGGCTTCCCTGCCCCGCCTAGCTCTGTGGGTGCAGGGTCCGGCCAGTTGACAGAGTTTTGATCCCAGTGCTCTGCAGTCTCAATAACACTAAAGTATGCATTTAGAAACATTTTTTAATTTTTCAGTTTGCCTTATGTGTCTGCTTAAATTGTTTCCTCAACTGCCATTGGAACAACAACAGATGGTTTTCATGAAGACAATTGTGTAGCAGAAGTCCTCACAAGCTGGTATTAGCCTTTGGCAAACTTACTGTTTTCTCTCAATTTACAGGTGAATGGGATGCAAAGAAAGCAAGCATCTCTCACTTTTGTGGATGTCTTGTAACTGAGGTGTGAAAAGACAACTCAGGGACAGGATAAGAGGAGATTTCAGGGTGCCTGTGATTAGCAGTAACCATGGTTCACTGTCCTACAACAAAGTCAGAGAAACATCAAAGCTTATCTGTTGAATGTAAATGAGTACCCTGAGAAGCTAATTAAGCAGGAGCTTTGGTGTCTCCAGTACACCCAAGCTTCTTCCAAGGTCCCAGTGCTACTTTAGGAAGATTGTGATTTTTAAAAAGGAAGACCCAGAATTTGGGCTGGAGAATTTGGGCTTGGCTTCTGGGAACATTTACTGCTCCTGCAGAGGACCTGAGTTCAATTCCCATCTATGGTGACTCACAACCATGGGTGACTGCAGTTCCAGAGGATTCAATACCCTCTTCTGACATCCAATACCCTCTTCTGCTATTCCTTGCGTACTTGGTGTACAGATAAACATGCAGACAAAACACCCATATATTTAAAATAAAATAAATGTATGTAAAAATTTTAAAGACCAGGAAAATTGCATATATAATATACACTGTGGTATCCACATTTTTTTATGAATAAGATAGAAATTATTCTGAACCAAAGGTAAATAACCAGCATCTCCCTCATCACTTATAAACTTAGAAACTCTGGGAAATTGAATGTGCAAAATGGAAAGTTTTAGCTGTTCTGTACATTTTTAATTGGAATCTTAAATAGGAATAAAAGTTCTGAAAGGCCAGTTTAACCTCATGCCCTTTATCTGATTTGTGAACCTGCATTTAAAAACATGATTCAGGAAACAGTAAGAATATTTTAAAGAAAGTAATTTTCACTCTATGCCTATAAAATGAGTTTTCAGTTGACGACTTTATTTTTGATGGTATTATTTTTGTTGGTATAACAAAATTAATGTAAGAAAAATATTTTCCTTTTATTTGAATATTGAATACTAACAAATTATTAAAACATTAGAGGAAGTGAAAGGTTTTGAAGTTTAGCAAAATAGAGTATTCAAGTCTCTGAAATTTTAATATGGTGAGTCTTAGACCTTCAGACTTTAAGTGACAGTATCTAAATTATTCTTATTTGTCACACATGATGCTTCTGCTGGCCATAAGCAGATAACCTAAAATTAGAACTATTTATGTGACATGAATAGCCTGTGTTTTAAAAATTAAATATTTTATATAAAAATCATTCCTATTATTTTTCATTAAAATAGTCATAGAATATTGGTAAACCTATTTTAAAATATTTAAATGCTACATTAGTTGAAATGTACACATAAAGAATATTAGTGGCTTTCTCATAAGGTCTATGTGGTATGGAAGACAATGGTTTCCATTGTGTTTTGTTGTGAATAGTAGAAAAACCATGAATGAAGTTTTATTTGTAGCTCTTTTTCTTATTTTGGAAAGAAATAGATTTGAGATTCCAATGAAAATGACTCAAAAAAACTTGTTTTATTTGAATATCATTTGCTTTATAACAAGCCTTGTGTTGGTGCTGATTGAGTGCAGGATGGTGTTTTATGTCCCTAATCAATCAAGCCAGGAATTAAGTCATGCCATTGTGTAATGGCAAGAAGCTCATAGAAGATATAAATTAGAGAAGATAATGAGTCATCTGCATAGCTTCTGTTTACATTATATATGGGTAAAAGAATTACTGCCAGCATATGTAGTTTAGCTAAATTTTCCCATAAATAGTATTTCAAAAGTCTATCTCAAAATATTTAATAGTTGAAAGTGTGACCTCTAGGTAGGCCACCGATTGTTAATACTGTACTTTATAATAGGTGAGTTAACAGCCAATTTTTTATAAGCAATCCTTTATTTTTATCAAATTTTAAAATTATTTCTATCTAAAAATAAATGCTGATTTATGTCACGTATTAGTGCAAACCATATAGAAAGTTCACCATTTCTTTGTTTTATGAGACACTGCCCTTCTTTACCAACTCATGTCAATACTGTTAGTGTTACTTTTTCTTTCCTTTTCTAAAAACTATTTCTGTTTCATTTACATAAAGTAACAGTTCCATGTGTTTCAGTTTTTGAAACTATGCCTTCAAGATGATAACTATAGAAATATTCACTTCCCAAGATTTTCTTAGTGAAAAATCTGCCACTTTTATTTAATTTCTTGGGATTACCCCCTGCTTTTCCTTATTTCCACTTGACTGGAAATGTAGAGGGTGGTTTCAGCCTCCAAACAGCTGCCTGCTGTGTGTGTATTTAAGTCTGTTTGGATCAAAGGTACGTTTATAGTATCAATAACTGCCCACACATTTTATAGGTAATACTTCTAAAGAAATGGTGACTCATTAGGCGTCTGAGAGCCACGTGGATGGCTGCTGCCACTCAGCATTAAACACACTAGCTCACTTTAGCATACACGCTACTGATTTTTAAACTGAATTAATTGTTGTTTGAAAGACCTGCCTTGCTACATCCTTGTTACCTCTTGATGAAGCCAATAAAGGCAGTGTTGAAGGCCAGGGGTAGGAGAAGACTAAGGCTCAGTTACCTCTTTGCAGCAACAACTGTATTTTAATCTGTAGTGGTATTTTGCACAGCATCTTGTGGGAAAATGAGTTAGATCTTTCTGTGTTACAGCTCTAAGTGGATTTTGTGTGTTCTGACTAAAAGGCACAATTTGAAGGTAGACCTCACATGTCCTTACTAATGACCCTTAGTAACCACAGACTCAGAACAACAGTCATATATTCCAGGAGACAAGGCATTATGGGTTCCAGCTCCAAGGAATGAAGGGTCTTGTTTTAAGGAATTTACAAATTAATCTTTATTCTACTTACTAAATAATATAATCAAATATTATCTTCAAGTAGAAAAGTACTTTATAGAAATAAAACAAGAACCAACCACATTGTTTGCCATGGATGAATGTTTATAGCAACGAGAAATCGCTTCCTTTGCATTCTTATTATTTCAGATACTAGTCAACAGCACTTTTTATTACTCTGAAAGCAAAAAAAAATCCTGTATTATTAAACCTATATTTTCCTATATATATGTAGATATATGGTAGTGATTATTTGACAAACCATCAGAATTCTCTTATGATTCTGAGTTACTCACCCATCTTCTTGGAGAGACTTGCTAGCCAACCCTTGTCTCTGAGAATTTCATTACTGCTGCTGTAAAATCTGCAACTAAGTTATTAACTAGGTTCTTCTTGATATTATCCATGTTCAGAGGGTTTCACCTTAAAAAAGTTCCTACAATCAGTAGCAATAGCTTGTTTCAGAAGCTTGTGTACTTTGAATGCAGACATTGGCCCGGAATTCCTGTTTCTGTCCATGGGTTTTAGTACAATAGTAATGAGAGTCAACATGTGTTTTTCAACATGTGGGAATTTTCAGATATATTTTCTACCTGTGTCAAACAGGATGAAAAAATGAAGTTATGTCTCTCTAGTGCTGTGCTGGTTGCCTGTGGTTTTATACTAAACATATTCCAGAGAATGCACTATGACTGGCCTCTTGTGCTGGATGCTTGGAGAACTTAATTTGTCTTCTCTCTCTGATAAAACTCAACCCCTGAATTTCATAGTGCATAGTTTTTATCGTAGTGGGACTTACATGGTAGCCATGCACTGGGAAGGGAAAGTTTTAGTTATTAATTCAGTATACTGTCGTTCTGCATGCCTCTTTATTTTAGTATATCTGGACTTACTTTGCTAAAATATGGGGTTATAAATTTTATCTAAATATTTTTTCATACTATCTTTTTCTTCTTTCATCAGGGAGTAGAGAAATTCTTATGTGTGTTGGTTTGTTCATATTAAGATATTAGACACTGTCGACAAATGTGTTTAACACCCCTTCCATTCTTCTGCAAACATCATCAAGTGGTTCTGGTGGAATCGCTTTAGTCTAGCAGTAGTCAGGGTAACAACTATAATTTGATCTGTGCTCCAGTTGTAATTTACAAGCACGCTAAGACCTATGTTGGATCTAGACTGTGTTTCTCATGGCCTTGGAGCACTGTCCACATGGCAGGAACATGGTAGCTTTGTTCTGGTGATATTAATACCAAATAAGAAGCATGCTGAGAAGACAGAATGGTGTCCTGTGTTCTTTGCACTCCTCATCTCTGGCAGAGTTCTTTACTCTGGCATTGTGATGATGAATCTTGGTGAAGGTGATGACTATAGTTTGCACAAACTTCACAAAATGCCTTATATTGAGTAGCAAATAAAGGGTACGATAGTTTTGCTACAAAATGCTGAATAATAAATTGTGAGCAGTGCAGAGGAACTATTTGTGGATCATGTGGTGTCTTTGAATTCCTTGGTGCTGGTGTTGTAACATGCGATATGTGAAATAAAGTGGGTTCCTCTACAGCTAAATGACTTCCCCCTAGGGAGAGCTGTGCTATAGCAAACTCATTGCTGAATGGTGTGTTCATAGGCTATTTGTATAAGTGGGAAAGCATGGGGAAAGGTATGCTGTCTGATGGAAATGCTTCTTGTCTGTCTTTTCATATGGAATGCATTTTGGTGCATTATGACGTCACTCCAATTCACAATATTGAATTATATTTCAGTTGTATTTGTGGAGCTGCCCACGTGTTATGCTTCTAGCTGCTTATATCTTTATATGTTTGTCTTATACATATTTTCACTTGAAAATAAGTGGACATTTAAATAAATATTTGATAGTTTACATATTAAACATGATGCTTTACTTACTTTTCGGTAATAAATACTGATTTAAACTGAAGTTTCTGTTTTTTATGATTGAATTTGTCTCACTGATTATGTGCATATGTTGAAGCTTCTCTTGACATTAATTTACACCTCATACCAAATCTGTTGTTATTTAGATAAGACACACATGGCCAAGATTAAACATCCTACTGTAGCCATCCCTTCGACCTTTAGGTCTTATGACTTAGTAAGAATAGTTTTGAACTCTATGACCTAGAGCCAAGATGAAGTGGAGCCATCTTTATTGGCCCCGACAATTCTCAGTGGTGTCAGATCCTATCCCTGCAACATCTTCATGGACCATGTTGGTCTGGCTTATGCTCTGACCTGATGTCTTGTTTTCTCATGTGGGACAAAGTCTTTTCATTTGTTAGCTTCATAAGAGAATTGTCTCTTGTTTCCATCTAATTCAAAATCACGTGTTTCACTAGAATAGTCTTGGTAAAACTGAAATCAGGTCACATTTTCAAAACAATTTCTCACTTGTTTGTTTCTGGAAAAAACCTTAAACTCCTTCATATAGAGTATAGAGTTTTCCATAGTGTGTAGAGATTTCTATAGTGTATAGGGTTTCCCATAATGTACATACCTTTCCACAAAATACAGGGTTTTCTATAGTGTATATGATTTTCTGTAGTGTGTAGGGCTTTCCATTGTGTTTAGGACCTTTCATAATACATCGGTTTTTTTCTTTCATAGTGTATGGGGTTTCCCATAGTGTGTAGGGTTTTCTGTAATGTGTAGGACTTTCCATAGTGTATAGGGCTTTCCATATTATGTTTTTACTCCACCTCCCACAGTCTCTGTTACCATATGAAATATCTTTTCAGAGTTTTCAATGAAGAATGAACTTCAGTATTACTGTTACTTAATGCAATCTCTTACAAGGAATTATATGTTAATTCCAAACACCCATATTCTTTTTCATACAAAGCAATCCTCTATTCAACATTGCACACTTAGTTAAAAAAATGGTCTCATCCAGAAGTCCTCAGGAAGTTGGTTTAGGACCTGGTTCCTGATCTTCATCATTTTGTGTGTCTCTCTTTAGAGCTCACTAAGCTACTGTAATTGATTGATTGGACACCTTTTCTCTGGCTGGATTTCCCCACTTTGTCTTTCATGGAATAAAGGAAGGCTTCATATTTTTCCATTGGAAACTACATTCCATTTATACTACATTATCTTACACAATTTTAAGTATAAAGCTCAATAAAATAGGTATGTTAATGAAATTTTTACTGGTAATAATTTTTTTCAAAAAATGTATGATTTTACAACTTATTAAAGATGAATGTAAACTTGCATGCTAATAAAGTAGACATGCTTATTTATATTTACATAAAGAATTTAATATTGCCTATGTATTTGATATTTCAGGATGTAGAATATCTTTCATGTTTTTCAGAGTTGGCTGACAGTTTGGTTTTTACAAATATCAATGCTGAGAATGCCATTTTACACAAATACATATGACTACAAGGTAGTCACTTTGGAAATTCTAGCTTAATCCCAAGCAGATAGTACTAATTTTTGAAAAATAAAAATTCAAGCCTACAATTTTAAAAATCAAACATTTAAATACAAAAGTTTAACCTTCCATAATGAAGCCATTATGTGTTGTGTATATAGTAAAAGCACTGCACTTCATAGCATAGAGCAATGGCTATTCTGAGCTGAATGTTTTCAGAAAGCAGTGGCTGCTGGTACATATCATGATGGAATGCCCAGTGCAAAGTGCATAAGTGTTCATAACCAAGGCTGCAGGGAAGTTGTGTTATACAGCATGGGGATACTGCCCAAACCACAATGCAATGGATTCATTGTGCATTTGATTTTGAATCTTTTCTTTTATAGTGTAATCAGAAAACTTTTACCAAATTTCCCTATAACCATCACATCTAGTTATGTCTCCTTATATGGAATTGCAACCACAGTTTAAGAAATTGAGGTGGAAAGCATAGGCAATACTGAATTGTGTTTATTTAATATATAAAAATAAAAACATTGTCAGCTGCTCCATTTAAGAATGCTTCAACATAAACAAACTGATAATGTGATATTTAAAAATTGAGATACTTAATTTCAAATCATTTGTTCATGTGAGTAGATGCAGAAAAGACCTTTTGTAAAACCCAACATCACTTCATGATAAAAAAAATCATGGAGATATGGAGATACTAGGTATAGAGACTATATTTCAGCTTAGCCAAAGTTGTTTGCAATAATCCTATAGCCAGCACTGGGTTAAGTGGAGAAAAATCTTAAAGCATTTCCACTAAGTTTAGGAAGAAGACAAGAATGTCCACCTTCTTCTTCTGTGCAGTAAAGTGCCTGAAGTATTGCCTATAGCACGTAGACAAGAGACAGAAATAAAAAGAATAAATAGGAAAAGAAGTAATGGTATCCATATGAAATGATATTATGATTCTGTCCACTTAAGTTTCCTGACAAAGACTCTTAAGAGTTGATAAATGCTTTTTATCAACGTAGACAAAGGTTACTCTGAGCCATAATCAGAGACATGAGTAGAAGAAAGGTATTTGTAGGGAAGAAGGCAGGTACACAGGCATGGTAGGGAGAAGAGGATGGGGGTTGAGAGTGGTCACTATGTATTTTGTACATGTATAAAATTGTCAAAGAGCAACCTAATTAATAAACAAAGCATGAATGGATTTTTGAAATGTACTCTTACAACTCTAAAGTTATGTTTCTATGGTGACAATATGTATGAAATCTCTTATATTAAGAACAAAAACAATGGACTACTAAGAAGTTTGAGCTTTCTTCTCCCCTTCCCCCAATCCCCCCTCCCTCCCCTTTCTTTCTTCCCTTTGCCACTTTTCCTTTCCATCCCTCCTCCTCCCCCCACTCTCTTTTCTGGCTTTCCCTTCCACCTCCTCCTTTCCCCTCTCTATCCCCTTGCTTTCTTCTAGTTCCATTTCACTTTTCTTTTTCTCTTTTCTATTTTTTTCTTTCTGTAGATAAGAAGATACTGTCAGTCAAGAATATACTATGAATTTTTTCTGTGTATATAAATGTAGGGGTTATTTTTGGGTATCCTGTCCATGTATATAATAAAACACTATATATTTTAATCATAATAACTTGAAAAACATTATGGTCTGAAGTGTAGAACAGAAGAAAGCCTAAATTGTGGGTGATCAGACTTCATTCTGAAGATAAGAAGCTTTGTTAAGGGAAAACATTACTAAAGGAATCTAATAATTTTGTTACCTTCCAAATTTACAAAATTTTACATTTTAAAAATAAATGCAAACTATGTGATATTAGTCATGTGGGTGGGGTAATATGAGAGTGTTTAGTGTGTTCATGTTTGAAATCATCAAAAAAACCCAAATTTAATTAATAAGATGATGAAACCATGAATGAAGTTGTACAATGTTTTTATACATATTTAATGTTAAGTAATTCCTTGATGCTATAGCATCAGTGTGTTCTTACTTTAAAACAGGGATTCTTATTGAATGTGGGATTATTGAAGATCCATAACAGCCAGCATTCTGTTTGGGGACTCTTGGCAGTCTTTTTTTTCCTATTCATGTGGCCTGTAAAGTCAGATATCTTTTTTTCCATTTATTTATTTAGCTCATAAATAAAGTCATGCACAATTATGATACACAGTACAGTATGTTCACAATGGCATGGCTAAATTAAACCAATTAACATGTTATATCACACATATTCATCATTTTTGTTTTGAGAACACTTAAAGTATATTATCTCACAACTTTTAAAATATAGCGTATTGTTATCAACCATATTTATCATGCTCTTAGTAGACCTCAAGCCTTCACAGAGTCCATGCCTCTTGTCCAACTGCAGTTTTATATCCTTAAAGCAATCGTTTCCCCATTGTTAAAAGACCCACATTGAAGCCTAATAGTCACAGTTCTGCTCTCTGTTTCATAAGTTCATCATTTCTAGGTTACACATAAAATTGAAATTGTGTGACATTTGTCTTCCAGTGTGTCAATTTTTTTTGGCAAGCATATAACTTTATTACTTACTAAAGATGAAATCAAATTTGCATGCACAGGTGAGCACTCTCTGAAACACCTTGGATTCATCACATATTTGAGTTTCAATTAGCATATAT